GTACGTTTGGTCAGCCTGGTGTTTCGGAAGCGAAGTGTTGAGTGGCGGGCGAGATGTCTTGAGTTCGGTTTGGGGAGTGCTCCGAGCTGCCATGGGCCAGCTCGGGTCAGCATTGTGAGGCTTGGGGCCCAATATAGTTCATGCTCCTTGCAGGGAGCTCGGGTTCTCAGTTGGGAGCTCGGGTTCTCAGTAGGGAGCTCGGGTTCTTAATAGGGAGCTCGGGTTCTTAATAGGGAGCTCGCTCTTAATGGAGAGCTCGGACTCCCAGTGGGGAGCTCGGACTCTTGGTAGAGACCTCAGACTCCTAGTAGAGCGGTCTGGAGTTCGGGCTCGGTAGCGAGTTTGAACTTCGTTACTTTTGGTGCTCGTTTTGGGCGTTCCGCTGTCCCGAATTGTTTGCTTTTGCCACGTATCGGGTGATTGCGACGTCGGGCCAAATTTCCCTTCATCAAAAACCAATCAATAAAAGCTAAGTATAGCATGTGAAGTTTTTTAATGTGATTAGTTAAAATCTTACACGCTTCTAAAATATTTGAATAGCCAAAGATCTAAAGTTAAGATCAGTTGAAAATTCTTTTTACCAAAAAATTCAGTTGAAATATTGGTGCACGTGACGTGACGGATGCGCACTGCGCACCTGACCGATTTATCCTTCGTATTTTTTTTCTCTCGCGAGACCAACACGACGGATGACACTCTGTTTCTCCCCTTCATTTCTCAATATCAGACTCAGTAAAGTCCGCTCCTGCTCATCTCTGCAAACCCTCACCTTCATCATGGCCGGAGCTGGAGAGGATCTCTCTTCTTTTTCCGGAAGTGCTGTTTCCCCTACGCTTGATGCCTCAAACTCACAAGTCGAAGGAGCCGTCGCCGATTCTCAGGACACCGACGACTCTAAGCTCGGATTCAAGCGACCTGAAATGTACAAGAGCTCTCTGGCCGGAACTGTTGAACCCTACGATCGTCATATCTTTCTATGCTACAAGAATGCTGAAAGCTGGCCTTCTCGAGTTGAAGATGCTCAATTCGATCGACTTCCGAGGCTTCTAGCTGCGGTCCTTAAATCCCGCAAAAACGATATTCGAGGGCAGGTTGGTTGCATAAAGACCATTCCTTTTCCTACCGACTATCCTGTTTTTAACTTTTTTTTTTACCTTTCTCCTGCTTCTTGAATTTGAGAAAAGTCAAGATCTGGTTTTTGTTGTGTTGGAACAGACTCGTCTAGCATTATGTGAGGGACGAGATGGGACGGAGTCTTCGAATGGAGATATTTTGATTTTCCCTGAGATGGTCAGATATAGGTAAAAGTAACGATTGCATCCATTTGCTTCTTTTAGAACATTTTAAAGTGGGTTTATCGCGCCTGAGGTTATCTTCTACTTTACTGTTGTAATTGATGAAGGGGTCTGACACACTTTGATGTCGATAATTTCGTTGAGGATGTACTCGTAAAGGGCACGGCTTGGGCTTCTGGAGTTTCTGAAGCATTGACAGGTTACCATGTATTCGTGTGCTGTCATGGTAGTCGAGACCGGAGATGTGGTGTTTGCGGCCCGGTTCTTGTTGATAAGTTTAAGGAAGAGATTGAATTGCGAGGTCTAAAGGATCAGGTATTCGTTAGTCCATGCTCTCACGTCGGCGGCCACAAGTATGCTGGGAACTTGATAATTTTCAGTCAGGATTCAGAGGGAAAGGTTTCGGGTCATTGGTAAGTCATATGCCAATATATCGCTTTATTTTGTTCATTTGCTCTTTGTTTTGGGTCTGCTTCGTGGAAAAGAAAAACCATTTAAATCCTCCGCAGTTCGCAGCCCGCACTTCAATGATTTGCTCAGAGATCAGAGCTGTTAGCTTGTGTGGGACCAACTATTTTCTTTTGTTTTCATTTGCAGGTATGGCTATGTTACTCCTGACGATGTTCCTACTTTGCTTGATCAGCATATTGCAAAGGGAGAGATCGTAGAAAAACTTTGGAGGTATATTTCCCTTCTTCTCCACTTTGTTTTCCACTTTTGCCCAAGATGTCTCTCTGCACGCTACTAAAGCACTACCCATAAATTGATGCCACAAAATCAAATTGAAGCTACTTAAAGTGGCATTCTGTATCACCATTAATACCTTCATGCTACACTGCCAAAGGAACATGCTATGGCCCGAAATTTTGGAAGTAATGAATAGCATTTCATATGATATGATATTTTAAATTGCAGAATTCAGTAATAGAGGATGGAATGCTGAACCACTGAACTGTTTGTGAAACCTCAAGATTTTCAAGTGTTCTTGCTGGGATCTGTTGAGTGATGTTGACTTGCTCAACTATAACCATTATGGTTATATGTTAAACGACCTTGCGAACCACCAGATTTTTTTTAATTGGGATTTCCTAAGTTGTTCCTTTGGAGAAGTTTCCTAATTGCCTAGGAATCTTCCACAAGGCAACTTGTTCTTGGTTCAAAACGAGTCTTCCTTCTCTCTAGCATCATTCTTTCAGCCCAAAATCCTTTGCCACTTGTTACAAGATTAGGGCCACTTTTCCAAAATAACCCATTCTCATGGGCATTGCCATTGTTGACAGATAGTATTGTTCTAGAAAATCTATTTTACAAGGTGGTGGATGATGTTAAGACATGACTACTCCAGATGGTCTCCTATGATGGAATGCCTGGATTGGCAACGGAATTCCTCTGGGTGGCAGAAATAAGCCATAAGGATACTTATTAATGAGCTTCTCTTATTGACCAATTAGGAAACTTTTTGTCTTTCTGTTTTGGAAGATCTCTTCACCAAGATGAGTAGTACAGGCTAATTAATTTTGTTCCATCTATTCTATTAACCATTGACCATCAATTCATTTTGCTAGAAAGTTTCTATACTATATAAGGCCGATACTTTCCTTGGTTTCTGTGCAACTGTAAGAGTTAAATCAAATATTGGAATTCATATAGATCTAAGATTATTGTTTTTACCCTTTAATCTTATAAAATGCATAGCACATGCTCTGTTAGATCAGTCACACACACACCAATGCATGGAAAAGGTTCAGTTCTGAATTGGAGGTTTAAAAACCTCTGTCTGTATTAGAAACATGCATTTATATGAGCTGTTATCCACTTCCAAGTGCCAACGACTCCACCTATCAATCCATTATCAAGTTTCAAGGTTCAGAACTTCTGGGAAGATTATGCAGTGCTGGCATTCCCTTGCACCAGAAATTCCTAAAACTCTATTTTATCACATCTGAACCTTCCAATCTCTTTTGTGTCTCACTTATTGAATGACTTTTCTTGAGATTTCAGTTTTAGAAGGGACCTTAACTTTCTCCTTGTTGGAGCGATAATAGAGTTTGGAGTGTGGACCCTAGTAGGACCTTCTTGTCTAAGCCTCGGTTGTGGACCTTAAATGGATCTTCTTGTGGTACTCTTTTTTTCAAAGCACTTGATAGAAACCCTTCTGACCTGCTTGGGTATCCAATCAAAGCTGTTAAGTTGGATCCTGTTCCACCAAAAGCAGGGATTCTATTATGTCGTCTGGGCGTCTAGGCAATTCTAGGTGACCAAAGGAGTGCCTAGTCACCTAGTCAATGGCAATTTTTATAAAATAACAATTTCAAAATTTAGATTAGTTCCCTAGTTGAATACCACTAAGCATGCATATTAATTGAAAAAATAGAAACTTTCTTTATTAAGAACATTGAACTTCCTCTCAAAACATGGCAAATTATCATATCTAAAAGACAATAGTATTTTAAATAATAGTAGTTTCAATACTTAAAAAAATAGAACTAGTATGATATAGAGTTTCAGTAGCAGATGCTCTTGCGGAAGCAGGGGTGGGCAGGGACTTCTTGCTTCCTCTTTAATGGGTTGGGAAGGCTTTTTGCTTTTGCTTTGTTTTTTTTGTTCTGTTTTTTTGTTTTTTTTTTGCCTCTGTAAGAGCAGAGATTTTTTTACTTTTACTAGGTTTCAGAATAAGATTCAAGGGACTAGATAGAATCTTGATTGAGGGAGACTCTCAAGTTGTTGCGGGGTGGACTCTCAAATTTCTGGTGTTCCGTGTTAATTTTTGCACTTTATAAGGGTGGGCTGATCCTTGGCCACTTGGATGAATGGTTATTCAATGGGTTTCGTGATCAGGTAATCCCCTTTGGACTTATTGGGGAACCTCTATTTGAGAATAGCTTGTTAGTTTTTGAGACATTTATTGTATGGGTTGTCCCCCTTCTCTCCTTATAAAAGGGGGAGATTTTCCTATAGAAGTCTTTGATCTTACAAATTCCAAATGTTTGCGGTGAAAACATCTTTTCTAGGTTCAACATGTAGAAACCCCCTTAACCTCTTTAGTCTTTAAGAACCATATTTGCACCACTTGTATCCTGTCATTTTAGAGTTCAGGGCTGTTTCATGAAATGATTGAGAAAGTAACAGTATTTGATAATGGCCTCATAGTGGAGATCAGGCTATTAATGAAAAGTAGTAGACATGGTTTACAATTTTCAAGTAGTTACCTGTTATGATGTTTAATTTCCTCCTGCAATTTTGTCCAGTTGATCGATTAATGTAGAGTTTCCATGTGAGAGAAGGGGATGGTTGGTTTCTGCTTCCATGCGTATCATCTATGAAGATTTCCATTTCCTTGAAGACATTCATATTGCATTGCATAATACTGCCATTGTGTTTTCTTTTCCTACAGTGATGTAGGAATTAGAGTTTATGGGGACCAATTTGGTCAGCTTATGGGTTTTTTTTTTTTTTTGATTAAAAGCTTATGGGTTTTTACCACATGGGGCACCCAACCATATTCCATTATTTAGAAAGTTTGGTTATTGAGCAGGACCCATGATTGGATTTTTTTTTTTTTTTTTTGTGAAATCCTAAACTACCATATTTTTATTGGGGTTTAGGGGATTGAAGTGTTTTTAAGTTTTTCTACATCTTATTTGCTTTATATGAATTGATATTTGTTAAAGGTTGTAATGGATGGGATAATTTGATGTTTTCCTACCTGATTTTGCAATTTTTAATTAATGTTTATGGCTATTGTTATTTCATTACCTTGGTGCTTATGGCAAACAAAGAGAAGGCTTATTTTATTTTATTTTATTTTTTGGAATAAACTGCAGGGGCCAAATGGGTTCTTCTAAAGAGAGAAAGGTTGATGACCTGAAACTTCAAGAAAATGGTGGTACAGCCTATCCAAATGGTGCCAATTTGGAGATAAGAGAGAAAGAGACCCAAGGAAGCAGTACCAAAGGAAACATGAAGGATAGTTCAAGTTGTTGCCAGGGTGCCAAAGGGTTTTCTTGTTGCAGGGATGAAAGGAAGGAAGAAAAGAGTGGGATTGAAAATAAACCAAATGCAAAGTATGGGTTGTGCAGCCTGTCAGCCTGGATGGAAACATGGGAGAAAGATGATTTTCTAGCTGCTGCTGCAGTCATTGGGGCAGTTGCATCCATTGCTGTGGCTTATAGCTTCTATAAAAGGTCAGGATGAATATCTCTTTGTTGCCATCTTCTTTAGCTCCTTTTTCCTTTTTTTTTTTTTCCTTTCTTATTGTATACGTGATGTTATATTAGAAAGATAATAAAGAGAAAAAAGGTATGGTGATAATAATTCCCTGAACCAAGTTTCTCTCTTAAGAAACAGTAGTAGTGGTGCGGAACTGTTTAGGCCCTGTTTGGCATCATTCATAAATCATACCTATTTCTGTTCTTAGAGAAATTCCTGTTCCGGAACAGGAATCCAGTTTCTTATTCCTGAAAAATAACTGACTTGTGCGGCAAATTGTTCTTAAAGAACATATTTTTGTTTTATAAAAATAGAAATGATGTTTGGATAGCCATGTTATTTCTTATGATTAATTCTTCATATCAATATACATACAAAAAATCATAATAGTAGTTACTAATCTATTAGGCACTTCTCTTTTACATTCAACAAATTTAAACTAGATGATGCAATTGCTCAATAACATAGAGCTGAAACACTTCTTATAAAAGAGTAACATCCAATGAACAATAGAATGATAAAACTCGGGACTCTTCTTAGGATCTTAAATTCTACAATATAGGAAAATTAAAACATTAAATTCCAAGATTCAATTGTAGAAAACATGGATATTATCTACTAAATAGGGGAGGGAGAGGATTAATGCTAATCCCTATTCCAAAATTATGAATGGAACCAGTATTTCTAGATTACTACTTTAGGGAACAAACTAAAATGAAAAATTTTCTCTTTTGGATTAGGAATGAAAGCGAACTAAAATGAAAAATTACAACATATTCAAGTCAGATTTTTTATTTCAGCCAACAAATGATCAGAAAACAAAACATAGGGTTTATCTTTTGGAAAGGGGATTGGCTAAGAGAGTTGATTAAAAGAGGAGATTGACCTAACCTGCAAAAAAAATAAAATTAAACGTTAGAGAAGGGGGAGAAAAGAGGAACAAGGAGGCTGAACTCTGTTTGTGTGACGATATAGCAGAAAAACAAAAGAAGAAGTTCTGGCGTTTTTTAGTGCGTTGATTGCTATTTTCAGGCTGAACTATGGTTCAAACTCTTCAAATGGCAACGGTTCAAGTCAGTGAATCCACAACCAAAGCAGAAGAAAGTTCTGGCCAACTACTCTTTTTTGGTTGATGGACTATGTGGCAGTGGGATGAGGAAGAAAAGAGATAGCTGACAGGGATCTTTGTGCCCGATGTTTCTTTTATTTGAGCAAAATTACATTAACATCCCTCTTTACACGTGAGAAATACCCACATGTGTTCGTTTTTTTAAGTTAACGTTGTGGGAACACGTGGTTCTGACTTCCGCAGGATGTGCTCTAAAAAGACACACACCTGGCAGCTTGTTCTTGTTCCAGAACACGATATTTCTTGTGACAATATGCATCCAAATGTATTTCTGATCCGTGAGAACATTCAGAACACGAGAAATGTTCCCATGGAACGATACCAAACAGGGCCTTAGTTTCTTTAGCTTCAGAGGTGAAATATCACCAGCAAGAAGTTATACATCTTTGTCTCTATCTGTATCTTTTTTTTGGAATAGAGTCTGCGTCTTTTTGTATTTGGTCTTTTCCCTGGATGAAATTATATCTGCTGTCTATGAGTCTGTGGTAGCTTTCGTTACATTCACAGGAAATTCATCTCTATTAAGAAGCTTAATCTGGAATATGTATGGATGATCACAATAATTCATGTCTAAGATATATTGTTATCTTTGGAAATTTGGTTAGGGTTTGATAGCCATATTGTTAATGTAGTTGAGTTGTGTGAATATTGCTTCTGATGCTCTTATTTAATAGTATTTCTGGTTCTTGTGATTGGATTTTTAAGCATATGATGCAAATCATCTCTTTTGATTTGAAGTTTGATAATGTGCCTGATACTCCTAATTTCTCTTATGGACCTGGCTTTAATCTCATAGATGATCTAGTGGTTAGTTCAGTGTTTTGTTTTAGAATTCTATGTGATGGTGGATCAAGGAAAGATAAAATTGGCTCTTATGGTTTGTGTATTTACTAATAGGAACAATTTTTTGGTGGCTTCAGGTTATAATTTGGATCTTGTTAATAAGAGTATTGATGTTGGAGTTAGGGAACTATGTAGAATGCTCTTTTGTTTGCTAATTATCAGGGTTGGAAATCCTTGGTGGTTGAATCTGACTCTTTGATTGCTGTTACGGATCTAAAAGGAAGGGATGATGGAATTCCATGGACTACTTGGCATTGGCTGGACAGTATCGAGAACTATTTATTATTATTATTATTATTATTATTGATAGACTTTTTTGTATATTTCCAAAGCTTTTAATGTTTTGGCTCATACTATGGTCCAACAAGCCAAACTTTTTTCTTCTCTTGAGGTCTGGTAGAACAATCTACCCTCTTGGTTATGTAAGCTTCGACTATCTTTTTCTAATAATTAATGAATTAGTCTGTTTGCTCACCCAAAAAAAATTCTAATGCTCGGTAGGAAGTCATGTCATTAACTTAGCCTTTCAGTTCAGCAATTTCAACTGTTGTCAAACGGGTGTTTCAGAAGTCAGCAACTCAGCATAATTACTTGGATTTATTTCATGATTTTGATGTTTCTTTACTAATCGTTTAGTAGAGCTTTCCTAATCCTTTAGAAGGGTCTTAAGCTTGATGAGTTTTTTGAGCCAGTTCTGGATGATTTGGTGTGGTTCATGAAACGGGGCGAAGCCTAGCTGTGATTCACGCCAAACTACTCTAGCAAATGGGCAGGTGAAGAAGAGGTGTAAGACAATTTCAAAATATTGTTTGCAGAGTTGCATGACAGTTCATCCTACTTTAATCACTTTGCAAGGTTCAAAATATCGGTATTGTTTTTTTGTTTTTTTTGTTTTTCGGATCTGGTTCAGATGGGCCGGTTTACCCCCTGAACCACTTGTTGACTTGAAACATCACATCCCCTGTAGAGACGTGTCGGGAAGGCTCTGATATGATACATACGGGCTGATACGGGACGAAATTTTGAACCTTGTCATTTTGTGCATATTTCTTTAGTCAGAAGGCTGTCTCCAAAGAAACTTCCAAGCCAAAGAGAATACAGTGATATGGGATTTTAACTTCAAAGATTATACCATTTGAATTGGGTGTGCTTACAAGAAAGTTTTATAAGCTGATTTGACAATATAGTCTCCACTGTTATTCCTCCTCCATATTAACTTATCCGAGTGTAATTGTGGGCTTGGTGTGAGGGAGATGACTTTACTGAGGATAGCTGAATCCACCAGCTCCTGTAGAAGACGGGTACGTATCCCATGTGGCTGAGTCTCTTAGTAAGTTTTTCACTTTCAGCTGTGAGGTATACTATTAGGGCCCTGTTCGTTTTTCAGTAAGCTATTTATCTGGGTAAATGCATTTACCCAGGTAAGTGCTTTCCAAGAAAGGTTTATTTGGATAAGTGTATATATCAATGTTTTTTTATTTTTCATGTAAATAAGGTAATAGTCGTTTTAGCCATAAAAATCCATTATCAAAAATGACATTTTTTGTTTTACTCTAGTGTTGGCAAATTTCTCTCACTGATCCTTACATAAATCTGAAAAAAGAACATGGGTTTCTTAGTCAATGAAAATCAAAATCCCATTGACCAACTCTTCCCCTTTCTCAAAATCCAAAAAAAAAAAGCAACGCCCCATAGGTAATGAGGGTACTTAGGAAAGCTGAGATAGAGATTATCCAAAGGAAATTTGCCTTTAAGGTAGGGATGAGATTGTGAGCTTGTCTCCACTACAAGGAGCTTGACCTCGATGGAAAAAGGTTGGTATTATTGTATTGTACAATATGACATGATATGTATCAATACTTTGAACCATGCTATCAGTTGATTCGGTTTTGATAAATCAGCCCTATTCCAGTCACGCTTTTTTTTTTTTTTTTGGTTTTATCTTTTTCCTTGAAGCCCGTACGTAAGTCCATTTGACCAAATGTGGCATGTTACAATTCACAAATCACACCCCAAGTTACAAATTGTTATAATTGAGCTTAACCTAGCTAATAAGACCCGAATATGTTTGATAAGCATAAGCTTATAGATTATTAATTTGGCATTAAACCCGCAATATCACCTGCTCTCTTCTCAAAATAAATCATATCCTCTATAAAATGATGGTTTTAGACACCTTATATAAAATTATATATGTAAAATTGTAAACCATTAGAAACATGTATAAAATGCAGGGGATATGTTTTCATGTGCCAATATACATATATGTATATTCATCACATAATTGGTTTGGGGTTTTATGGGATTGGGATTATTATCATGAGCTCAAAATCTAAACTCATACCTTATTATCTAACAAGAGGAGGTTTATGGGGTTGCCCCTCACAATTTACAGACCTTATTTTGTACACACACAAAAAAAAACTTTACTTCATTCCTTGATAAATATGAACACCCAAGGATTTCTATAGATCCCCACTTCCCTAGTTGCTGTTTATATATTTTGTATTTACAATAACATTAAGCCAAGTCATGAGCTGGTGCATTCATATATCTACTAACAAAAGATGGATTTAGTGATTTACTATTGAAAAACCTCAGCAATTCCTTGGCTTTTTCTTTTAAAGGCTTAATTGTATAACTACCGATTTCATTGTACAAGTAAAAAGGATAAAAATATAAATTAATAGTATATGATCAAATCTAAGTTAATATTATATGACCAAACCTAACTTTTATGTCCTCAATCAAAACAAAGACAAATATCAACTTTATATAATATAAATAAATACTATGTTTACAACTGTTGTTGAGTCAGAAAAGACTTCAAAAAGTTGAGAGTAACAACATGCTGTAGTTCTTGGATCAGTGCCCACCATTCACTTTCCAAGCTTCCTCCTACTTTGACATCGATTTTGCTATTGCATGGCTAAAAATAGCCTTTTGTTTATTTTATGCAATGTACCTATAAAATGATCATCAGGATGTAAGGCCTTAGGCCTAGGCAAATATCTACATTCTATTGTAAACATACAAGGAATTTTATTTAAAACTCCTCACTTTTCTATGATTCTCTGTTTGATACCTCCTGGGACTCCCTTGTTAGACGCTTTTACTTATAAGTTACATGCTTTCTGTTAGCTAGGTCACCATTAGTGACCATGATGGAAGTGGTTCACAAGCACCACTAATAATGAAATTAAAAAAAAAAAAACAAGAACAAATAGATCAGCTAATGTCGTGACGACTCATGCGCTAAGGCAAAAGAGAGCTTGAGTCTTTTTTTTTTTTTTTATGTTGGCTCCTTCCCCGAGTGAATGGGTTGAGAGTCTGGTTAGCAATGATATGGTCGGCTATGTAGTTTAATGTTTTCCTTTGTCTTTAATGAATATCCTTTATTGCCCGAAAAAAAATCCTTTTATTAACTACTTTTTTATGATAAAAATATCCACACTATTTATTTGGTTTAAATATCCTTATTATTTTTGTTCTTCAATAATTTCACGACACACCAGAAATTCACTTCATCACTTTCTTGTTTGTTTCTCATACAGAATAGGTTTTAAACTTTGACATTCACCTTTAGATCAAATGAATGACGTGGGTATTTTAGTTTAAAAGGTATAGATGAATAGAGAGGTGCTTTTTATCCCTACGGGGGGTGTGAGACTCCCAAATCTCTTAAAACCAAAAGTATTGCCCATACAACATCCAACCAACCATACACCAGGATTGAGGAGTATTTTCTGTACATGTACATGTGTTCTAAATTCATGAGGATTTGAAGAGTTGTTCTCAATGTGCAGTTGAATGCCCATGCTTTTAGTGTGTGATTGATCCAATTTTTTCTAGGGGTGGTGGTTGGGGGTAAATTTAGGAGGATCACAGATAAATAAAGGGGAGTTTCAAATACAAACTTAATACCCTATAATTAGGATTATAGGGGGTTGTGATACTGCCTCCAAACTATAAGGTGGTGTTTGACATCGATCTCGTTGCTTCAAAAAACGATGACACATCAATGTCATAATGGGAAAATCGGTGCTCTAGAAAATGATAACATGCTTGGAACCGTTTTTTTCATAAAAATGGTGCTCCAAACCACACCTTAGAAATCAAGAAGACGTGCTCCATAAAAACCACACCGTTTTTTCATAAAATAATAACATGATTGATGCCCTATGACCGCCCCACATCACATCCTAACAAAATATAAGTCCAGAATTGCTCCTCAAACCAACCTCACAACCTGTCTCAGCCATACATTAAGAACATCTTCTGTACTTTGCATTATTATTCATGGGGAGACGTTTTCAGTATATGGTGGGATGGGGTTGTGAGGTTGCTTCATTCACTATGTATGGAAAACATCTCCCAGTGCATGATGAGATTTGCCCTAAGGCATGCTTTATGGAGGATTCAATCAGTGCAAAGCCTGTTCGAATAATCATCATAGCCTTGTATTGAGATATTTCCGATGCAAGACCGTAAAGGCTGTTCGAAGTTCGGATCACATGTGGGGGCGCCCATGTGAATATATTCCCAACGTGCGGCTGCAGTGGCTAATTGGGACAGCGTTGGTAGCAGGTCTCAGTTTCGTTTCATGGTGAGATGTGCGGTGTCTGATGACGTTGAGAGAGTATTGGAACGTGTTTTGTTTGCAGGTGATCACAACACAACGCGATTTGTTCCCAATTTGTTCCCAATCATCGGTCCCCCTGTATCAAAGCATCAACAATCCCCAACCCAACGCGATCAATAGCCCCCTCGAGCTCAGTTGCAGAGAGGATAGAAAAAGATTAAAGATGGATGCCCTTCAACAATCTCATAGATTCATGAGACCACCAACGGTGGGAGCACCACCATCACCATTTACACCACAGTCATCCATGGCCGACCTCCAGCCCAGACCATCACCGCCTCAGGGGCTTTGGTACTCCGGTCAATTCCAGTACCAGTCTTCGCAGCCTCCGCCGCTTCCTCCATATCACCATCAACAACAGACGCCGCAGTGGCCCCCTCATTCCGATCACCATCAAATTTATCCAACGCCCCACCACAACTCCGTTCCACCGTATCCTGGGCAGCCTCAGCACAACCAGTATCCTCTCCCTCCTCGACCACACCTGCCACCACCTCCTCCTCCTCACTACCACCATTCCCTGCATCCTCAAGGTTATGCTCAGTCCAATCAGGTACTCAATTCATACTCTGAACTATGTTGAGCTGTTAGGGTTAAATGTTTGTTTTTTTAATCACAAGCTCTCTTTCTCTCATTCGTTTTGCTCAAAATTCCCTTGTTTTTGAATATGTTGTCTCGCTTGTGGATGGAGAAAGGATAAGTCGATTGATTGTATGCTTACCATTGCAGAGCTAGACTTCGTCGCATTTCTTATCTGTTTATTTGTTTATGTCAGTAAAGGAATGTTGGGCTTTATAGTGCATCTGGGTGGAACGTATTAAATTTTCCCATTCTTTTCTCGCTAAATTGTTTTGGACGTTATCACTTGACGAATGGGTGGATTTAGAATTTGTATTTTTTTTTTCCTCCCCTTCCACTGATACTGTAATGTTATCATGTCTTCCTAACTTGTTTCAAATTTATTGCTACTAGATTTCGTTCTTACTGGGTATGAAATGCTGTATGATGATTCAAAGATGTCATATGGCTCATTTCATCATTTCCATTTTTTTTTTTTTACTGTGGGCAGGACGTACTTGATATAATTACTCTCTCATCTTAAGGCGTCCTTTATGGTGTAATAAACATATGTTCCCATAAACAAATTAACAGATAAGAAAGGCGACAAAATTATGGTAGAACAGACTAGATCAGAAATTAGACTTGCAGCTGTATCTTCGAATAAAAGTAAATGTGCAAAAGATATGGCTCAGACTTGGGGTTTCCCTCTGCCTGTTTTATAGAAGACCTGGTATCATCCCATGGTAAATATAGCGTGTTCAACATATTGGCAACCTGGCATTAATGCATGAAAGGGATGCGTGATCTCTAGATTTTAGATAGGTATAATAACTTCATTGTGTTGGAGGGTTTCTTAACTACGTTGGAGGGCCGTTAAGGTCCTCCACTAATGGAATCCAACGTTCAACTTAAAGAGGGTCTGGAGTAAAGAAGCCCCAAAACTTCCAGTTCCTGATAGGCTTTTATGCCTATTCAATGTTAAGCTTTCCCTATAGCCTCTGAGCCACCACTTAGCTTAAAAAAACCAAAGTTAGGTCCGTATCCAGTCCACTTCACCCAAGACTCCAGATAGCTGGGACCCACATTGGGTAATATCCTTTACAATTCATCATATTTGAAGTCAAGATTAAAGCATTTAAATGCATGGAGTATGTTTCTCCAGTGATATTTGATTTCTCACCTATTTATTGATTTTTGGGCTACAATTGTGATTGCATTGTGGTGCTTGATAATACATATCAAGTTCACAGATAATATAACAGATTTTTGAGTATATTTTTCTCTCTTTTACTCATCTCTTTTTGGACCTCCAACTTCCAAGTTTTAACATGAATGGTGGGATGGTTTGGTTCTGCTCAATTTATTTCACATCGGTTATTTTTTAAAGATTCATAGTGGACATTTATGTAATAATGCCTTATTGGTGAATCCAAATCTTTATATTCTTTTAAAAAAAAGGTACCCTTTTTATTGAATCTATATAGTTCCAAACATAAATCAATTTTATAGTGCATCGTCGTATTATGTGGAATTGTGATCATATTCGATCACCTTGATTCAATCACCAATACTTTATATCCTTCCGAAAGTGTACTTGCTTATGGATGCTATAAGATACACTTATAATACAAATGCTAAATTTCATGGATTCAACATTTTTTATATTTTATTCTACTTCGTTTAGCTGTGCATTGGTTATTGTTATTGGATATTATATTCCTAAGGCGATACAGAGTGGTGTTTCTTAATTTATTCTTATATTGTTACTCATTTTTATTTTATTCTTGAATGCTTGTAGACATGGGGAAACCCAAATTGGGCTCACCATCAAAGTTGGGAATATTCAGGTTAGTTATAGTTTTCTATTTGGTTCTTTATGTTGCTTTTCTTCAACTTATTTTTTCCCTTCCCATGTTTTATGCGGGTGACTATAACTTATTTTCCATCTATCAAATTCCTATTCCATAGCTATATATATGCAGTCTGAGAGGGAAAAGTATTAGGTATTAAGTAATTGTATTTCTGTTGAACTTTCTGAAACATTTCCATTTAACTCTCTGCCTTTTGGTGTTATCTTAATTTTTTATACCCAGAGTTCCTTTGCTGAAAGCAAGTTGCTTGTATTATATACAGCTTAGATGTTTTATTATGAAAGCTCAACTAAGAATCTAACTTGTTGGAGATTAGTTTTTCTTTGTTGTTTGCATTCTTTTCATCAAATGGTTGAAAACATCATTTTTATGAAGAGGAAGGGAGAGCAGTCTAGGGGAGGATGTTTTACACAGATGGCATCCTCTGGTAGATTTAAAGCACCAGTTTTCTCAATTTCCACTAACGTGCTTAGCAAGCAAATATAATTAACTCAGAAAATAAATTTGGGGTTGAATAGTAACTTTTCTTGGGGAAAGGTAGGCACATTTGGGGTTAATGGAACTTTAAAGGAAGATCATGGTTGCCAAGTGTGCAATTTATTTAGAGTGGATCCAGTAGTGGAGTGACCTGATCTCGGTTTCTCAAATTGCTATGCTCAACCAATGAGGTTGGACCAGTTAGCACCTGTTCAATTAAATAACCATGTTGATGGTGTGATTGGTGCATCTTCTTCTTTGTTTTAGCAGCCTCTCCCAGAAGAGTTTGGGATTCAAGAAGCAAGGTTCTAGGAAAATTAACAGTGATGGAAAAAGGAAGGAACTGCAGATGTTATCTCTCTTTAGTGGCGGTGGAGCTGCAAGAGATACTTTGAATCAAGGTGAAAAGGAAAAGGGGTTGGAAGTCTTTAAGGTTCTTGATTGTGCAAATTCTCGTGTGGCAAGAGATGGGAAAATTGATCTGGATCTTTTGAAGGCAGGGAGTCCTATATCACTGGAAAAGAGAGATGCGGGGGATCTACAAAAGAGTTCTGACAAAAAGATTGGTGAGGGGAGGCAACTTGAAGATTTTCAAATAAGTGTCTGGATTTTGAAGGGGCAGAAGTCAGAGGTGAGAAGGAAAAAACTAGAAAGGAGGTAAGGTTGGTCAACCCAGAGGATAAAAACAGAGTCTGAACTTGTTGGTAACAAGAAGAATGAGGTAAAAATGTACCAGAGGAAAAAGTAGTACAGAACAAAACCATTATAAGAAGATGGAGAAGGTAAGACTGAAGAAAGAAATTCTGACCTTAAGGATAATGATGATTCATTGAGGGAATCTTCAGAGGATGATGTTAACGTTGATGAAACACATGAAGTTACTGCAGTGATCATGGCAAGATGCGTGGGCACCATATTGGTGGAAGCCCTACAACTGGAGTTTCTTGTGCTTGTATGACCATTACAAGTCGGCACATCCAGAGACCTGCATGGGCACCGAGAAGATTGACTGTTGTTCTCTACATTTACACCTCTGAACTTCAGAAGAGAAAGGAAGTCGAACTTCTGTAAGATGGTTACTTTGCTCTGCATTACTAGATTCTACTTCAGGGAATTGAATGTGCCAACACTGAAGTAGAACTGCAACACCTGCTGGCTTGATTGCATTGTGTAGAGCCAAACAGACTTCATTTGCCAGTCTCTGTGGGTCTTGAAGTCTCTTGGCAAAGACATCAGCCACCCTGGAGAGCTTGCTTAGGCCTACCACCCGTTGCCCAGATGGAACATAACCAACATGGCACTTAACCTGAAATGGTAGCAAGCATGATTCACAGTAGGAGAAGAGGTCAAGGTCTCGAACAACTACAAGTCCACCTGCTCCTCCTGCATGCCCAACTCCATTATACAGGCCAGCTTCAGGGAACAAAGCACCTTGCACGATATCCTTTACCTTCTGTCTGTAACCTCTTGTTCCCTCTTGAAGGGCTTTGGCAACACGAAGTGGAGTCTTCTTGAGACCTTCTCTATTAGAATCCTCGCCCAAACCCTGCAACAGAACCTTGACGGCATCCTCGATGACGGCAGTCTCCGATTTGTGTTATAGATCCAGCTTAAGAGACTCTACCTTCACTCCATTCTCAAGGTTTCCATTAAAATGCCCCTCATCCAAAGCGCCATTGACAGACAACGAATCCCCACAAACTATAAAACTACACCGACCCAAATCAGGAATGGAACACAGAACCACTGAACCAATTGGCAAACACAGAACACAGAACCACTGAATCCCTACAAACTATATAACTTTCTGAGTGTCTAATTGCTGTGTACATCTCCTCATGTACCTCTTTTTTTTGAATAAAGTTAACCTTTTTTCAAAAAAAAAAAAAAAAAACACACACACACACATGAAGTTGAAGGGGCAATTGATTTTAAGACAATTGGCAAATACAGAGGTGGAGGTGAGCAAATTTTTGGGTTTGCTACTGATCAAAAAGAAAAAAAAGGTTTTTCTTTATATTGGTGGGGAGGAATGTGCAAGAGAAGGTAAGACTGAAGAAAGAAATTCTGAGTTTAAGGATAATGATGATTCATTGAGGGAATCTTCAGAGGATGATGTTAATGTTGATGAAACACATGAAGTGATTTTGAGACAATGGTAAATACAGAGGTGGAGATGAGCAAATTTTTTGGGTTTGTTTTATATTGGTGGGGTGGAATGTGCAAGGGAAGCTTTCAAGAAAATGGAAGAAAAATTTGGTGTGCCTAGGACATGGAGGAAGAACAAAAACCAGGAGCCTGGGGTGGAGTGTGACAAAGCAGTGAGCTTTGATGATCAAAGTGGCCTGGGATCAGAAGGGACTAAGGTTTAGGAGAACAGTGAGTTGGAGGCAGATCAGTTTGGAAAAATGTGGTTATGGAGCTAGAGAGAGATAATTCTATGAATTCGAATTTCATTGAGAAGAATCCTAATGTGGTAAGATGTTTCCAAAATCAGTGAAATTACAGAACTGTTCAGGTGTTGAAGGTCTTTGTGATTGTGGATGTGATTATTGGGTGTTGGGCCTACAAGGAAAGTTAAAAAATCAAAGAGTTGACAAGAAAATTATGGAGGCCAGTGTTCAAGATCTTGAAAAAGCAGAGTAAATGTTTGTCTTTTAGCAGGTTAGTGGGGCTTGGGTTGAACTTTTGCAGCTTAATTCTGGGTTGGTTTTGTCCTTTTGGAGGACTAAGGACCTGTATGGTTTGCAGGAATAGGGGCTTGAAATCGGAGTTGGAATGGGCCATTCCAGTTCCAACCATTTGATTGGGCGCAATCAAGAATCCCATTCCCATTCCTAGTGAATGGCATTCCCCCATTCGAGGGAATGTCCATTTGCTCCCCCTCCCTTGGGAATGAAGTCCCATTCCAGCTGTTTTCAATTCCCATTCCGATTGTGAGCCAAACGGACCCTAAGTTTTGAATGGGTAAATTTCTGTATACTTTCTTGGGTCTTTGGGTATTTTTTTTCTTGGTAGAGGGAGGCTGTTTTCTGAGTTGGCTTTTTCTTGGGCTGGGTGATAACTTGTCACTTTTGTTGTATTCTCCTTCCTTTGTCTTAATATATATATTTTTTAGTTTATTATCAAGAAAAAAAAGGAAGGGAGGGTTGTCAATAGGCCCCAAAATTAGAGCAAACCTACCAGTTAACACTATATACCATTTACTGATGCTAATTCTATGCCATTGTCCCATTGCTTTATATGACAGTAATGGGCAGATATCATGACTGGGATAAAGTTGCAATATCTCCATACAGTCAAGTTCAAGACTGCCTCACTGCCTATTGATCGAGATAAAAAGTTCAAGACTTACACTGATAAAGATAAAATGCTCTATATAGCTAGAGCACAATTTAAGAGTTTTTGATCAATCAAAGCTTAGAGGTAGAAAGGCTGGTTGGGAAAATTGAGAGGTGCATGATTAGGTATACTGAAGGAGTTCTCACTTCTCAGTTTTGGGGCCAAATCAGTTTTCAAGCAATTGGGAGGAAATTCTGTTTGAAGATATTGTTTGTAAGTAAATAGTGTTATACTTTACATTTGTTTAGTTTCTTCCACTCAGAGTAGGCTGGAATTATACCTTATGTAATATCTTTTGTAATCTCTTTTGAGGGAATCTCTCCTTCCTTTCAAGTAATACAATCATATCTGTTTATCAAAAAAAAGAAAAAAGAAAAGGATAAAAAAGATGAAGACTTCCTTAAAGGTATTTATATAGCTTTTCGAGTAAAGCTCAGGCTTACACCCTCTACACAACGGGGGGTAGCCCATCCCCCAACCCATAACCCCCCAACCCAGGTGCAGGCGGGATTCGATCCCAAGTCTCCACTACGACCAGCAGGAAACTTACCAACCAGCTGATTGGCACCTTGCCATTATAAAGGATGTTACCTCCATGCTCATGATGGTTAGGTAGGATCTTACTTCTAGGATCAGTGTCTAAACCTTCACATCCTCTCTTCAAGTCCAGGGGAATCTTTATCTATGTGGTAAAATGATTCTCAAGTTGGTGGTTTAAAACGAACAATATAGATTCTTGGCAGTATAGGAATTTAATAAGAGAAGATAGGAAAAATTTGCTTGTATCAACAGATCAGCTAATAAATATCTTGGTTGACTCATTGGCAAGACAAGGAGTCACCAGAAGCAAACTATTTTGGGGAGAAACTTCCTGGGGATGTTACTTGTTTTTATGACAAGGGATCTGCAAATGGGTTATGGAGCTAGACTAGTCTAAGTTGTAAGGGGTGTTTTGGCACACTTTAATTGTATTTATTTCTTTTTCTAATGTTAATAAAATTCTCTTTATTTACTGATCCAAAAAAAATCTTAATCTGTTCAGTTGATTGTTAGCCAGGAGATACAGTAGAAGATTGACTTCCTGGTCATTTAATACCTGCTAAAGCTTGGGCTATATGAAACTGTTAGAAAAAGAAATCAGTAAGCCTGTTGTCAAGAAAGTTTATCAAAAAGAACACATGGAACAAAGCCAGCTATGCAAGATACAAGTGGGAATCTTGATTCTTGAAATCTTGAATTGTTACAACTACCAATTGTACATCTATAAATGAAGGCCAAGGCAATAAGAAAGACAGCTTGTTTCAACCCAGAAAACCTCCCTGTCGCTCCCTCCCTTCTCTCTCTTTCTTCTCAAGGTCACACTATTTCGAACTAGTGTCTGTGTTCGGCAGAAACCCAACAGTAACTTTGTTAGCCACCATCTCTAGGCACCTATTGGATTGTTGCTGCCTAGCTACCATCATGTTGTACAAAGGAGGAGGAAATGCCTTACAGCGAGGCATACTACCAAAATGGTCGTCTCCCCACATCCCTTATTCCAACCTCAACGGATATATGCTTCTTGAAGGTGGATAGTTGTTTCATAATACCATGCCAAACACCATATTAGAAAGGATTAATGCCAGAAAGAGTATCCCATCTAAGTTGGATAAATGTTATTGGTATTGTTGTTTTAGTTTTTTTTCCCATTTTGTTGTTATTGTATTTTTTTTTCATTTTATCACATAATATATTATGACTCTAATCTATTTTGACCTATTTTTTTCTCTGAAGTTTTAAGACACAAAGTACCTGGAATCAATTTTGCATGTGTTTTGTTTTGCAGATGGAAACATTTCCCATAATAATGAGGAAGATTGGGCTGCCAGGGCCAGGGCATGGGCGGCAGCCAAAGCAGCAATGGAGAATCAGCAGAATCAGCAACCTCAGTTGCAGCTTCCTCCAGTTGGAAAATCAGAAGATCCCAGTAATATGTATCATGATCAACAACATCAGAATGTTGATCCTCATAGCACTGATATTCAACAACCATCACTTCTTTCTTCAGGCCATCAACAGTTCTCAGTTTCTGCCACGAATCTCCACAGGCCACCTTTAGATCATTTCCAGGAGTCCTCTCCCTTCAGCTCTCGACAGTCTTCTTCGTATGTTTCAGATGGGCATATACCATTTATGTCTAGAGAGGGTGCTTTGGTTGAAGGTTCAACTCCCGTATTTCCTCATCAAGGAAGTGTTCCTACTAGCTCATCTATTTATCAGCAGGAGGTACCTTCTAGTTATTCTTCCATTTCAGGTAATGCTTCATTTAGCAATTTGCATGTGATAATTATGTGCAAGAACTGCTGCTGTTTTACTTGGTTTTGCTTATTAGCTGTATCTGTAAAATTGTATCGTAACTAACCTCTCAAAATTCTTTAAATAATATCATTGATCAATAGGGACTTTTTATAGATCCATTGTCAATGTTCAATCTTTTGCTAAGTTCTTTTGCACTGGCATCATTATTCACTTGGAGTGTATGGGTTCATCATTATTTTTTTTATACATGATTTTTCAGTTGATAAAATATTGTGAAAGAGTTGCTTCATTAGGTCAGATAGTAGTTAGAATAGCAATACATCACTTGTAATTATCTGTTTAGATTAGAGGCATTATTGGTGCTGACCTTGAGACTAGTAAAATATTGTATTGCCTTTTCGTTTGTGGTTCTAGCCTTCTAGGTACATCTTATGACTGCAGCATGTGGAACTAATCTGCTATTTCTCTTAAATCTTTTGCATTTAGTTCACTCTATTGTGAAAGCTCTTTTTTTTTTTTTAAATATTAGGTGATTCTGATATTTGTATTAATACCAAAAGCTGAAAAGAAGGTAATCAACTGCGCCAATAAGTTATTGATAAAACAAACTGCGCTAATAGGTGATAAAGTGAGAGAGAGTAGGCTAAGATGGTTTGCCCATGCATAGAAGATCACCAACCCCAGTTAGAGGAAGTGATTTGTTACACATCCAAGGGGCTAGAAGAGCTTGGGGTAGACCAAAATGAACATGGGTAGAAGTGGTAAGAAATGATTGAAGCACTAACAATTTAACAGTGGATATGATTTTAAATAGAATGGATTGGCGAAACAGGATTCATGTAGCCAACCCCATATAGTTGGGATAAGGCATGGATGATGAAAAGAAAGCAATCAACCGTATTGCATATACAATGAGAAGCTATGTAATGGAGATAACCAGACTTCTCCAAAAGCCAAACCACTAAAATATATATGCCAGTACTAAGAAGTTTGTGTAGAAAGGACTACATAAGCTTGTGAATCTACCTTCCTGGGATTCTTTAGGATAGAGAACCAAGAGGGCAAGGATTAAATTTTCATGATATGTACTCTCATCTAGTAAAACAATAAATAATTAGAGGATAAGCACAATGTTGAACTAGCAAATTCTGTTTGCTGGTCAATATTGAAAAATAAAATGAACAGAGTCAGCAGGAAATTTTATGGTGCAGTCTTTTGAGGCTCATTGAATCAACTATGGTGTTCTCAGGTTGACATGCTGCTTAATTGCATTGCTTTCTTAGGTAAAATAGATAATTGTTACATTATAGAAAAGGTTAATAGTTTCGAAGAGAAATTGCATTTTATGTTTTACTGCATGAACAGTAGGTCATAAGGTTGCCCTCGTATAGTTGTATGTTCTAAATTGCTCCCAAACTCAGATTTAGTGAATATGAATCACATTTTGATGGTGTTTTATGTACATTTGTAACTTCAAGCATTTTCATTTGTTTATCTTATTCTGTCACATTTATTTATTCAAATAGATGCCTCTCTGATGTCTACCTTGATTTATTTGTGTAAATAGTGTATCTCTGATGTAGCTGGGTTCTATCCCTAGCAACTTGCCCCCCCCCCTCCTCAATTTATTTATATATGTATTTCCCCTCTTTGATGCTTCACCATGAAGTGTTATAATTCTCTTTTAATTTGTAATTGTATTCATCATAGGCCTAAATATTTGAATAGGAAGATAAGCTTGTTAGCTCTTGTGTTGGTAGCTTTGGGTTTTCTTCCCCAACATTCCCCCCAGTTGAGACAAAAACTTACTATGTCTTCTCATGGATGGACCATCTCCTTATGTGATGTCATTTCCTATGTACTATGTACTTTTTCATTAATTCATTGGTAGCTTATCTTAATTTGAAGAAATTTCTGGCAAATCTAATATTTATGGGAACCTAAAGTAATGGATGTTGGTGGTAAGGTAGCTGTTTTAACACATTCCATTGGATCAAGTAGGTAAGGCACATGGTTTCCCTTTTGAGGGAATTCATATGTAATTTACACTAGGTGGAATCTAGAAGCTGACCTTTTGTCAAAATTGTCAGATATGTGAGAATATGGTATTGGAGTTGGAATGAATTTCTTGCATCAAAATCTGTCTACTTGCTACTGAGACGTAATTCTCTCATTTCCATCAAAGTCAAATTAGTTGATTGGCTCACTGGCTTTTGGGGTTGAGCTGACAGCTGATGTGTATTGCAGCCTTCATAGTTATATTCTAGTTTTTTTACTTCCCATATGGTCCTCAAAGTTCATTGATAAGAACTTATGATATGCACTAACCATTTATCCCTGAAAGTTACATACACGTGAGAATGCTTTCCCCATTTAATTTGATATGCACTCCATATGTTGTAATCACATGGTGGTTGACATGGATGAATCGATTTCTAAGTTATTAGAGGTCTTGAGTTTTTAGCAAAATTTTTGGACATGTACAAGAGATCATAATGTGTTTTAAGAGATTGTATTTCTCAGATTCTTTTTCTCTGTCATGTCTCTTTCTGCATCCATGTGTGTGATAAATACCACCAAAATAAATAAATTTCTTGTTAGCACTTAGCAGAGTAAGTAATGCAAAAGCAAACAGCTGGCAGTGATACAAAAGAGAACAGAACTTATTGTGGTTTATATATCCAAATACAGTTGTGGTTCTGAGAATGTTGGTGTTTAGTTTGCACTTTTGCGAGCAGTCTGTCATAGAATCAGAAAGTCTGTTTCTATTGCTGCATGATAACATGCAGAAGGTGGAAAGATAGTCTGCATAGGTCCTGAAGAGTGGTATTTGGTGGACAACTCGGGCTGTTTCCGCTACTTGATCTTCTAGCTTTTGACTTTACACTCTAAATAGCAGGTAAAGAGGTTGGGAATCCAAACAGCCAGTTACACAAGCCACCTTTGCCCATATCATCATGCGAGGAAGGACATCATGTGCAATCTACATTGCCTACTGTCGGTAGATCAATTTCAGCAGAACAACCTCCTTTTGTGCATGGTGATCAGTCTGCTGAATCAACAGCTGTTTTGAGTGATAGACCGTTAGAGTTTACACCAAGGTTTAATCATGAGCATGATGTATATTCACAACGTACTTATATCCATCCTGATCCATCAGGAGCTGTAGGCAGTGTGGACTCTATTGCAGCTGTGCCCTCTGCACATGCTTGGAATCCTTCAGTTCCTCTTGGGGCAGTATATCCACCAATTCCACCAGTCCCAGCAGGGCCACAGGTTTGAGTTTTTCATATGTATAATTTGCTTGATTCTTATGGTCTTGATCTAAGAATGCTAATTCCTGCTTCATTTTCAGTTTGATCCTTCTCTTGTTGCATCTCCTGTTTCTGGACATGCTGCACCAATCTTTGGCAGGATGCCTGGATCAGGGTTTCGGCCCACTATTCCAATGGCCAGTGCACCCTTTGGTATGGCTGCAGGAACTGCTGTTATTCCTCCAACCACATTTCCTGGAGACATGAATGGGGGTCTTAATGTCTTGGAACGCCCCAAAAAGGTAGTAATTCATCTGATGATTATGTTTTGAGCAATTGCTGAATGGCAATTGATTTGGGTTCTGCAAAAATTTCAGGCTTCAGTACCCAATTGGCTTAGAGAGGAAATAATTAAGAAGAAAGCTGCCATTGCTAGTTCTGTTCAGGAGCAACCTGAAGAGGATCCTTTTCGACCTGTTGGTGATGAAGGTGTTGATAAACCTTTCAGGAAAGATGATCAAGCAGATAGCAAAAGCATCGATTCTTCTAGATCAACTGAGGATGATGATGAGGTTCTTTCATTTTCTCCTTGACATTTCTTAACCATAATTGTTTATCAACTCTTTTTGTTTTCTCTGTGAAGGCATGTGAGGTATTATCGTTGGTATATAATTCTTGTAGAAATTAGCAACTTTTATAGAAAATGAGCACTCTTTCCTCCCATTTTGTATCCATGTAGGATGATGTGGAAGCAGCAAGGACAGCAGCAATCAACCAAGAAATAAAGCGCATCCTAACTGAAGTTCTTTTGAAGGTTGTAACTGCACTAAAAACAACGGTGTGTTGCATTCCTATGTTCTCTGTAGTGCTGAATTTTATGTTTTGGACAGGTTACTGATGATCTGTTTGATGAGATTGCTACAGAAGTTCTCACTGAAGACGATCTGACAGTTGAAGGTATGTGTAACATTCTAATTGTCTTATATTTCCATTACAGAGGAAGCATATTACTTCATTGTGGATCTTGTATCTATTCAAATTAGTGGAGCCTTTTCCCGAATTTATGCATGGGGTTGGCTATGTGAATCCTGATCCAGTATCACACACTATCAAGGGTCTTCTTGTCCAATTCCATGGATAATTTTTCAGTATTTCATGCTATTCCTTTTTTGGCTTGTTCTAAGCATGAGTTTGTATCAGATCACCTATCACTGGTGTAATGGCATTCCATGCACATATTGAAAACATCTTGGTGTACTATCTTTAATTTTATGATTGATTGAGGAATTCATGCATTTCTATGGCTATACTTATTTCTATTCTTGTCATTCGTCCATCTCAGCATTCCTGTTTGCGGTACAACCATTTTATGGACATATTGCTTTATGGTATCTCCAAGCTGCTCTGTGCAACATTGCTGTCCTCATAAGCCATCTTATAATAACACTTCTTTTTGACATGTGCACATGCATCTATTCTTCTTATCCACCCCTGCTATGGTTGTGTGGGCAATATAAATGTACTCTTGAATATCTCCTTCGCTGTGGTTTTCAAACAAATATAACATAAATGGTTACTTTGAGGCTTCCATTGTTTGTAATTCTAATTGTATCTTTGTCTCCTGTTACTGCTAAACATGTACATCTTTTTTTTCCTCTGGTGTTAGTCCTAATTAAAATATTTTGATTGTTTATATGAAATTGATCTACCTGTTTCAGTTCATAACAACTCAGATGCACCAAATCAGAAGGCATTACCATCTCCTCCAGTAGTTGTGACTCCCAAGGCTTCTGCAAAGGTTCTGATTCCAGTTAAGGCAAAGGAGGCTGAATCAAGTGAAGTCAGTGGGAAATCTAGTTCTAGCTCTCCTGGAGATGTACTGGGACTTGCAAATTATGCCTCTGATGAGGATAATGATGAGATTCAAAGCTCCACCATCCCCAATAGGCTTACAGATGCTCTGCATCAGCAGTCAACAAATGGTAAGCTTGTAGAAGATATGCCTGATGCAGTAGGCAATGGCGGTTCTCTAGCAGAAACTGAAAGGTCCAGTGGAACTCGAGTGGACATGGAGCCTGATCACTTGAAAACAGGCCCAAACGGGGATTCATTTAAGTATGTAGTTGACAATTGTCTGGGTGTCAATGGGTTGCATAAGGATATGGATTATGGGAGTGATGGGCATCCAACAACTGCTCCCAGTGTTGTCTCTGGAATCCTGGAAGATAAGATCAACACCAATGGAGAAAAGATGCTGCAAACCTCAAATGCTTTTGAGTCAAAAGGTACTGGTGGAGGAAAGTACCATATGAAACCTGATCTGGTGCATGCAAGTGTTAGTATTAAGAACTCACTTAAGGATGCTTCTCATGGCAGAGAAGCTGGAAGCAAATCAGACAAGAACGATGGATCTGGAACTAGGAGTTCTGGGAGTAAGGATTTTGCCAGAGAGGCTGAAAGTAGTAAGAGTAAAACATCTGAGAAACATTCTAATTCCACTGATCATAGGAGAAGAGATGAAAGACATCCAAAAAAGGAAAAGATGGATGACAGGAATGCCTCAAAAGAGAGGATGAAGGATCGAGGAATTAAATCAGAGAAAAAAGTAAAGGAATCTGATTTCAGAAAGATTTCGACTCATGTCAATAGTAAGGATGAACGAGAGGAAGTTGAGAAAGATAAAAGGTTTAGTGTCAAAGAAGATAGTAACAGGAAAAGGGAATTGGCAAAGGATGACAGGGGAGATAGATTGAGGCATAAAGCTGCAAGAGAGGACTTGCACAGGCATAAAAGACGGCACACTTCTTCAATTAGCACTAGGGGTAGAGATAGCAGAGAGAATACAGTAGGCAGTCATTCCAGTGATTCAAGTGATGATGTTTCGGAAGATTCAAAGCACCAAAGGTTCAAAACTAGATCCTTGACTACTTTCCCTTCTCTTCTGTTCCCACTTTCATGCGGTTTTTTACAGTCTTCTATGCAGGAACCCACATTCAAAAAGGCGCAGCTCATCACCATCACCTATCAGGTCTAAGCGAAGGTACTTTTTCTCCACTTGATTTCATGTTTTCACAAGGCCTGTTGAAACCCTGGTAGGTTTATATTCTAGTTGGTGCAGGATTTTTACACATGGTGATTGAATTGACAGAATTGGTATATATGGACCATACACCTAACCCTCCATTACAGAGCAAGTTCTTTCATTATTTTTTTCCCGATAAGTAGAGCAAGTTCTTTCATTAGGGGCCAAAGAACTGCTTCTTGTCCTGCCCTTCATTTAAATTGGAAAATTCATTAAATACCACTTACATAGAAGCATTCTGGTACATGATGAGGTATTTTGCTGTTATGGTTGAGGGAGCTACAGTCCGTAGTTTTCTGGGAGATGGTAGCCATCCTGATGAAAACAGCCACATCATCCCTGAACCTTGCACATGAGCCATTCTGATGAAAACAGCATGTTGTGTCTGAATGAATAAATTAACTAGGCCTGTCATCATTTTCCCAACTTGGGGGGAGACAATAATATTTATGGTTGAGGGAGCTATAGTCCATAGTTTTCTGTCAGATGGTAGCCATCCTGATGAAAACAGCCATATCATCCCTGAACCTTGCACATGAACCATTCTGATGAGAACATGTTGTGTCTGAATGAATAAATTAACTAGGCCTGTTGTCATTTTCCCAATTTGGGGGGAGACCATCAGAATTCAGATTTATACAAATTTGTATAAGGATTACTCAAAAAATTTTCCCAATTATTTTAGAAAGCTTATGTTGGTTTTCATCTTCCAGTCATCCACTTGGACCTGTACAGCACCAGTGTCGGTGATCCTTTCAGTTGTGCATTGGTGGTACTTGGGCAGGTGGAATTTTATTGTATGATAAATGTAGTAGTTGTATTATTAGAAACATTTTTGTAGTGGCTCAAATCTGGTAGATACTGTAATCCTCAGTACAGGAGAAAAGCAAATATAGCTTTGGTGTATTGGGTAATGTAGTTGCAAGCCTGTAGGTGTGGAATTGGATAGTATTAGTTAAGTGCTTCATATTGGTTGTTACTGTGCAAATTCACCTCTTGAAACCATAATCGGATGATCATGGACCATTGCTTGTTTCCCTTCCAACTGTTGGTAAAATATTGATGGGTATTGGTAAGATCACTTGGTGAAACTTTCCTGTTCAAAGGCCTAATGTATTGAAACAATTGTGGTGCAGGGAGTTGATTTCAAAGAGTCAGGGCAAGATTACATTGTATAGCAAGACACTATTGATACACATACATATACACACACTATTGATACACATGTATGGATACCGAAAAGGGAAAACAATAACAGGTGGGGGGAATAGGAATTGGGGAGGAAATGGGTATAGTTTTACTACCTGAACCCAGATGTTGGATTGTAGTTTCACCAACTATGGCTGCGGCAAAAGTCTTGATAATCCATTTGGGATCTAATCTGATCTGATTAAGGTTTGACTTTGACTAAATTTTATATGATCGCACACACACATGGATAGTATATGATTGTATAATGTTCATAGTTAATAAATTCAGTGTTATATTTATATAAATTTATAAATTTGTTATGTAAGTTAAAAGGTGATTAATTTTTTTATCTTTTATTTTTTTTTTCTTTGTTAAGATGATGATAAAACAAACTTGGATCTAATCTGAATCTAATCCAAGACCCTAGATCTGATACAATTTTGGATCAATCTAGATTTAAGTTTTAGATAATCAGATTGGAGTTGGATGTGGCTGGATTGAAATCTAACCTAATTACAACCTAATCAGAATATCAGTTATCACCAACCCAATGGGAGCTGAAGATAAAGCTCCAGCACTGAAGGAGAAGAACCTTGTTGAGGAGTAAAGTATGTTGGCAGAGTGAAATTCCAAATATTTCTTGTCAATCTGGGGGAGAAGAGTCCATAACTAGTTTCATGGAACATAGAGTTTTCTTTGTGGAAGAATTCCACAACGAGCTTGAAAAAAATATCTTCAGGTGAAAACATGATAAAAAAAAAAAAGAAATACGATCTTGGAATTTTCTGCGGTTCCCAATTAGTTCACATACTTCATTGCTGGGGCAAGGGCCAACTGGTCGCTGTACCAGCATGTGGTGCATTCACTGAAACACTGGGTTTGTTGGCATGCCAGCTGATAGCTCTCTATGCTATTAAGCTATTTTCTCTAATTGGGCTTCTAGAATGGGCCTTGTTCTTTGTATTGTAGGTGTTGGTTTTTGAGCATGGCCTGTTGGGGTAGAGGCTTGAACTTCTAATTCTGTGAATGCCATCCATAGTGAGGACTGACAGATTGGAATGCTTATCATTTCATTCAATACTTCATGAGTTTTATGCTACTGGTGGGGCCTAAGAAAATTATAGTCGTTTGTTATTATGTTAGTTCATATTTTACTTTTGATGGCATCTTTTCTTTTATCTAATGGGAAAATACTTGCCTGTCTTTTATTCTTTAATATGTTATGATTGTTGTCAGACGAAGAATAACTTGATGCAAACAGGTCGGTTCTTATTAAGTACCGACTTTGTACAAGGCTGACATTCTGTGTATTAAATTATGCCTTTTAACTTACCGAATCAGTATGATGGATGTTTTATAGACAAGTTTCGCGGTCACCGCATAGCAAGCACTCTCAACGCAGACATTCTCCTTACTCTTCTCTAGAGACCACCAGGTATGTTCGTGGCAGTATGCTTTTAAGATTGTTTAAGAAAAAGGTTATGAGGCATATACATGCATCATAACACTAAAGGTCTCAGGTGAAAGAATCGATTTCCTGGAACCGTCTCAGAATTTGGTTTTAACTAAAAGATGATTCTAACCGCAGGAGTAAGAGATCTCGATCTAATTCACCTGTCCGTAGGAGAAGATGATATAAAAAGCTATTTTTTTGGTGGAACCTGGAGCTCGACCGGTGTTGCTGGCTGGCTGCAGGGGGGGATTTTGGCATCTCGCATGCAGTGGAATTGTTGAGATTTGCAACCATGAGTGTTAGGAACTGCATGGATCAAATGTATTTTATTTTAGTAGATGCTTGGGCTTCCTCTGGTGCTGAACGTTAATTCAGCAATTTTCTCACCAAAGTGAAGGTATCAGGTATGGATGTTGGAAGTATGACCAATTAACCACGGGGCCGGGCAGGAGGATAAAAGCAAGGTCGTGGTATGTATGCCTCTCTGGTAGTTTGGAGGGGTGTGTGTGTGTATGTTAAATATATGAACCAGAAGGTCCAGAACCACCAAAATTTCAAATAAAAATTGTTTTTTTGTGAACTCTATAAATGCTGTCTGGGCCCACGTTTTCCTTTGGCAGCAGGTTGCATTTGAAATTTGTAGATAGCGCGTTGCACAATGCAGAGCAGAGTATCCTCTACTTGGCTTGGCTTGGCAATTCAGTGAAGCACATTATCATTATTGTGAGTAAATCCAGATTCCGGAGATGATGACAGAGGGGGCTTTGCGCCGATTTTGTTTTTCGAAACAAAAACCACAGCCGTGTTTATTAAAAATTTTGGGGTTTCACAATGTGGCAGTTGTTTTTGATTTTTTTGTTTGAATTCAAAAGCAAAAGCATACATATTGGGCAAAAGTAAAACTCCTGGAATAACCATTAATATATCACTGCCTCATCCATTTGGAATACAAGTTTTAACAGTCTTGTTAAGAAACCGGTCTACTTATTTTTATGTCCAACGCAACACATTGCCTAAATCAGGATTAATTTTTGAGTGCCAATGGTGGGGGTTGGTTTGGACTTTGGATTAATTTTTGACTTACGCATGGGTCTTACTGGGTTCGGTGCTTCGGGCCAAGATGGTTTAATCAAATTATCAAGAATTAATGGGATATGTAAATGCTGGAGAAAATTCTGTTGAATAAAACTGGAATCTAAATTTTATTTTATTCGTGTGATCAACAATTAAAGAAAAAAGGTGTGTTTTCTTTTAAATTTTATGGTAATAATATTCAGTGCAAATCTAAATTGGATGTTCGGATGCAAAATTTTTTGTGTTTGTTTGATATTAAGATACGGCGATATGCACTCTTTGACGTAAATTTTGCACTTTGCAAATTTACAATCAAGCAAATTGCAATGAAATTTCCTTTTGCTTGCTTCTTTTTTTTTTTTTTGATATTTAGGGGGAAATACGTACAACAAAACGAGTTGTAGTTTGACCCATACACCATATATACATACTCAAGCATATCCGATCTGATTCATCCATTTGCACTCTAATGTTACTCACAACCAAACAAAAAAAAAATTAAAAATTAAACATAATATAAAATAAAAAAAAAACAAAATAAAATAAAATTTCATGATTTTTTTTCACTTCATAAATAAAATAAAATTTCATGATGGTAAAACTGCAATTAGTGTTAGTAGAAGAAGTTATTTTTATTAATTTCACAATAATTCAGATGCTTCAGTCTATGTTTGCCATATGGTTTACCTTTTATTATTATTTTTCTAAATCATATTAGGCTATGCAATTGAGATCTGATCCTACTTTGCTGGATTTGGATGTTCTCCCATTGGATTTTCGAATCAGGTTGGATTGAAAAATAGGATCCATTTAAAAATCGGATTGAATTTGAATCACCCCTTATCTGATCCAACCAAAGCTGATTCGATCTTTTATATGCATGTATAAAAGATCCTTTATATATATTTGCTTTTGTTTATATAGATTATTTAATGTCTTTTTTTCCTGTTAATAATTTGTTACATTTTACATATTTATGAACAATAAAATAAGATAGAATTAGATATGCAACATCTTTAGGGGATTCGTATTCGAATTCATCTTTGTAAGATCCGACTTACATTATTGGATCGGATTCGGATATAACCCTATCCAAATTGGATCCAATCTTTTGCATCCCTATATTAGTCGTTAAAAGTTGGGAACAAGACTAAAACACATTTTGGGTTTTGCATAAATACATAAAAATACCCTGTGTTTTCTAAAAGGACTTAAACATACCCTGCCCCGTTATAATAGACGGAATTAATGAAAAAGATAATTCTACCCTTTTAAAATGCAGCTAGGCATTAGAATTAAAAAAAGAAACAAAAAATCAAGGCTTCTAAATATTATCTTCTTTCCTAAGCTTTCAACATTCAATAAATTTCCTCTTGCCATGGTCATCGCAACAACATCTGCGGAGTTTCTTCTGGTGATGTTGACAGTAAGGCCAACGTTTTCCAAAGTCTCCAATATTAGCTTAGCTTGGTTTCCCCTGTTGAAGAAGGCGAATTCTGGATTGCAGTGTCAGGGGTTTGTTGTCTACATTTTACCCATCGGGTTCGTTCAATGGTTGACTGTGTATGTGACTACTGACTACAAATACAATGGCTCTCCATTCCAATATTAACTGTTAGCAGCCTTGTTTGTAGTTATAGAAAAAGGACTTGTTAGCTGATCCCAAGTGCTATGTTTGCTATGTGCTGTATTCTTGAAAAGATATCCAAATGCATTCTGGGTTGACTTTTGGTGACTTCCGATTCAGCAGATACTCAAAATTTATGAAGATAGAAAGGATTTTGGGTAATGCAGCATATTGGTTATAAAGGATTTTTTTTTTATTTTCTACTTGTGAAGCAGATACTCAAACTTTTGTAGCTTTTTTTTATTGAGGTCTTTGTATTTTATCTCAAGCTTCTGAATTTGTCTGGAAAATAGGGCAGAAACTCATAGATGAGAAGAACAGAAAATCTAGATAGATCAATCCACTAGGTATGTTTAAATCCATTTGAAAAGCTAAGGGTATATGTAAGTCAAAATTTAAAAGAAAACTTACAAATAAAAATGAAACTTTGAGATTCCTCTGGAGATACAAAGTAGCAGAGCAGCTCAAGAGTTGAATAATGTGAATGAAAAATTTGTTCATTTTGGTGCGACTGATGCCGACATCTGTTGCTGCTACCAGAAAAATCAAAATATTTCTGTATTAATTTAAGACAAATGTATCAAACTAACTTGTACTTGCAAAACACTTGTCTTTCCCATGTGTTTGTTTAAATGAGTGTTGTGGCGAGTACGTACCTTAACAGCCAACTAGCGAAGGGACTCGTTTAACGAAGCTAGCTAATCGATTTTCAACTACCCTTGGCTTTGATCGCAATTGCAGTTTGGAGGCTGATAATTTTTACAGGGAGAGAGAGCCTCTTTTCCTTTATTGATTAGATTAGATAAGTGATGGGTGACTCTAGTCTCTAGATTACAGGGAGAGAGCCACTTGATTAAAACCAACACGGAACTATGACTTTATCTTTCTATCTCCTTGTTTTGATCCGATTTAACTATAGAGATAGCAGAGAGTTGTTGTGAATTGTGATATTAAAATGACATAATGCTTGTTCACAAACCGCTCACTCATTTTTCTATTTCTTCGGTCTCTGGTCAAATTAGTCGGCCACCTCCTTACCTTAGTCCTTTCCCAGACCAGGCCCAACGACTGAAATGTTGTTGGATCATTATCACCTTAAACTCAACGGCTTGGATCTTGTTCCAAGTAAACTCTCAACCTTCACTTCACCGAGAGCTGAATACAGAAGCAGCAGCGTGGAGCCGTGGACTTTGGACTTTGGAGGGAGCGCGATTCCATGTTGACGCCTTGACGGTACGTGTTGTGTAATTACTTGCTTTACCGTGATTTTCTGCTTCTGCTGTTTGTAATTCACTAATTTGTATTTGTATCATCTCACATCTCTCTCCTCCCCATTCGTCACTATTCACTATTCACCCAATTCGACTTTCAGATACAGATAAAGAAAAATAGTTTCCACTTTCCACCCCCTGAAAGATAAACAATAAAATGATAATAATAATAATAAAAAAGGAATGCATAATCATGCCGGAGGAGATGGTGGTGGTGGTGGTGGTGGCGCTGGCGCCGACGCCTCGCCGCTACCACCATCATCTACGCCTCGTGTCAACTCCGATAATAAACTGCCAGGTACGGCTGACGCCTCCTCGCCTAACAGCATCGCCACAACCTCCTTCACTGTCGGCCGATGCTGTGGTTCCGGATGGCAACAGGCCAGCCCAATCTTCAGCATTCTCTCCATGTCCTCTACCTTATACTCTCCAGCAATCCTTGAATCCCCCGCTTCATGAAGCTTTCCTTCCGCATAAAGTTCCCTTACCCAATCAATCAACAGTGGGTCGTCCTCCGACCACGTCTCTATCGGCTTTCGGCCGCACACCACCTCCAGCACCATCACTCCAAAACTGTAAACGTCGCTTGCCGCCGTCGGTGCTACCACGTTCGCCAGCTCCGGCGCAAGGTACCCCAGCGTACCTACCACTCTAGTTGTCTTTGCCGCTTGCCCGTGCTGGTACAGCTTCGCCAGTCCAAAGTCACCCAACCGACCTCTCATTTCTGAATCCAGTAATACGTTGCTGGACTTGATGTCCCTGTGGAGCACCACCTGGTCCCATCCGTGGTGCAGATAGTTCAAGCCCTCCGCTACATCCGCCAGCACCCTGCGCCGTCCCTCCCACCCCATCACCTGCTTCGGCTTGTCGAAGATCCAACGATTAAGACTGCCGTTGGGCATATAATCATATACCAGCATCAATTCGTTGCCTTTCCTGCACCACCCTCTCATTTGGACCAGGTTCTTGTGTTGGAGCCTACCCATACTGGAGATCTCCGCCATGAATTCTCTCAACCCTTGTTTCGAATCGTGGTTGACGCATTTCACTGCCACTTCGGTGCCGTTGGCAAGAGTCCCCTTGTACACTCTGCCAAATCCACCCGATCCAAGAAGCTCATTGTCCGAGAACCCCTTTGTGGCTTCCCTGAGATCTTCGTATGGAAAACGGTGTGGCCAGTACTCAAGCTCCCAATCTTCTATCTCATCTTCTTCTTCCTCAATCCTCTTCTTCTTTTGCCAAAACCAGTAAAGCCCAGATAAACATATGACCACAAAAACAACAGAGGCGATTGAAATGCCGGCTATAACTCCAGCGGAAAGGGAAGACGACGAAGAGGATTCGGGCAGGAAAATAGGCAAATTAGTGGTGTTTATATTCCTGGCAATTCCAGTGTCGCTTAAGCTCCAAGCTAGAACCCTTTGCGCTTCTACCCAAGTGACTTTCGAAGCAGAAAACCCAACATACATATCGGCTGATACATAGTTTGCGATTGCGGCATTCTTGTATGTCAGCAGAGGCTTTGATGGTCGAGATACACCTATTGGAGCTATTGTAACGTTGATTTCAAACTGAGTCCCGTCGAATTCGATCCAAGCGTGGACATTCTGGCCATTACGCATATCCAAATCGACGAATCCGCCAGTGGAATTATAGTACCCGGCGGTATGGGTCACGGCTGATTCGATATTGTTAAGGTCGATTCCAACGTGATTCCCATCTAGGTCGTTGAATTCTGGGTTCTGACCGGTATCAAATTCGACGGCTAAGAGTGGAGCAACAGAAGGGGTGGTGGCATTGGAGAAAAGGCCGAAATATTGGCCGGATAGGGCGTCCTTAGGTGTGGTGGAATTGGAGAGTACGAATGCGAGGCCAAAGCCGGGACTTGAAGTGATCTGGGGGAGGATCGAAAAGACGAAAGAAGTCGAGAACGAAGAGATAGTGGTGCTGGTGTTAGTGGCTCTCATAGGGAGTCGGACAGGATAGAAGGCTCTCCCGACGGAAAACTCGTTGGAGTCATTGGTTAATCGGACGACGGACGACTCAATTCGGGTGTCATTTAGCAAAAGAAGATCGGTGGAATTGAAGGAATTGAACAAGAAATCGAGAGCGAAACAGGGGGAGAACAATAAGAATACGAAGAAGACAAGATAATGTAACATCGTGCCGGATCTGATCAGTTTCTGCCGGCGACGAGTGCTATATTTCCATGTGGGGGGGGGGGGGACTTTTTGTGATAACTGTTGTGAATTGCTGAATTGAGGCCAGATGGACGTTTACTCGTCAAATGGTACGGCCGCTGCCGGCTTATTAATTAACTAATTTCCCACCAAATATATAATTAACTTATTAATTCAGTCTTTGTTTATAAGTCAGTAATTGTTAAGAATTAATTAATGAAAAATGAGATGGTGGAAGAATGAGGATGAGTCACGCGAGCGGACCAAATGGACGGCTCGCGCCTCGCGGATTCTAATCCTTGATCAAGACAAATCAAATCAGGCACCCCACCCCCTCCTCATATATGAGATATCCTCCCAAAAAGACTCATTCAAGTGTTGGATGAATTGTAACGAATTAATTAGCCACGTCAGACAACGGGTGAGGTCCCTATTTGGTTCATAACTACTCACAACGGATTACCGAGCTGGCAAAAGCTTGGGCGTGTGTTGATGAATGATGAGGAGGCTTTTCTGTTGACGAGACGAGGCGAGATGTGGGGCAGGTGTTTTTGCCATGGTTTTTGAATAGCCGTCGATCCAGATGGTCGGACCGTTCAGTTCGAGAACTGTTTAAATAATCGGTTCTATTTTATTCTAAATTTGGTCTTTGGCTAAAAATATTAAATTGGTCAATGATTCATTGACTTGGAAACTGTCAATCTATTGATCCGTTCAATGATTTTTGATTGTTTTTTATATTTAATTATTTTTTATTTCATTCATTTAAACCGGACAGTCAGACCGTCGACCTGAAAACCGGTGGTCAAAATGATTCCATTTCCAGGTTGTTTTTTAAAACCATGGCTTTTACTGGAGATGATTCTCGACCAACATGGCCTCTATTCTTGGATTTCTAGTAGCTTGAACCAAGAAAACAAAATTGGCAGGGGTTGATGCTATTATGTTGTGACAATAATGTGCCACTTTACTCTATCATAGATGCCACTCAATCATCTGATGCCAAAATGTTAACATGGAAGAATAGCATAGCAAAAGTGGATAATAATGATCAATCCTAGACATCCCCTCTATACATGAATAATGGTACTCCATGGGCGATGGGCCTTGTGTATTTTTATGGGCCTATAGTACTAAGAAAGTGTGTTTTGTGGGCTACTATGGGCCTTGATAGAATGAGAAGAAAAGGATAAATATGACCTCAAAGATCGTGGGCCTATGCTCTATGGACCAAGAAAAAAAAAACATGGCTCAGAAGTCAGAATTGGCATGTAATTGGTTCAACTTCAACAGTTTCCATCCCATCATCTTATTTCTCCTTAATATATTCTTAAAGTCAAGATTGCTAATTGGGCAAAACAGACATGAAATCCTGTTTACATATATAAATAAAAAAGGAAAGTAGGAAATTGGTCAGCTCAGCTGGCATTCCTCAGAAACACAAAAGAGTTATTTAAATTCAAGGCTTAGAATGGAAAAGCACACTTCCTGTTTATTTATTATAAATAGAAGAGTAGCGATCCGATGCCAAAATTTTCCTGTCACAACATGAACCATACCTAGTTTATGAACAATTGCATCAAAGTATCAAACAAAGAAAATAAAGAAAAAAGCATGGTAGTGAGTCAGACGAGTGAGGAGTGAGTGGGGGTGGGTGAGCATTGCTATAAAATGGCCAGGCAGAGGTGATAGGCGATGTAATCAAAGTGACATATAGCCTCTGGAGGGAAACACAGGCAGTGAGATGTTTGTGTTGAGAAAGTTGATGTATATGGGTGTTCTTGATAGAGTAGCAATCATCAGCAGCATAGACCCCGGTAATGGGGTCCCTCTTACAGTCTTACATGTGTGTGTGTGGAAAGATGATTCCCATTTGATGTGTGATGTGTCGGCTCCGCTCCTTTATTCTTTTTATCCCATACCTGTGGCTCAGAAATGGATTGGTTGCATAGCACTGCTCCAAAGTTGGCGTGGGATGTGATGTATATTATTACACACACTTGCTATGGAATTGAAAACCTTTTTCACATAAAAACACCTTCACGGGATCAACTTCCTATAAAATGATAAGGGAGATGTTCCTCTTGTACAGCTGTACTGAAAATGAATACAACCAGCTACTCGTCTTATATTTAAGGACTTTTTTGGATTTTCAGAGGGAAAAAGTTGGACAATGAAATTTTGGTTTCCATTTTATAAGATACCTATATTCTTTTTTCAGATTTATGTGGGGTCTATGAAAGTTTATTTTCTCCAGGTATCACTTAACCGAGTAACTGATATCCATCTTTTAGGTGGATAAGTAACTTTCTCCCTAGATGGGAAAGTTACTAATACTTAGATTAGACAAAATTACCCCTTTTAATAATGGATTTTTATGATTAAAAGGGTCATTTTTTTTATTTATTTGGGAAATAAATGAACATGAACTGGGTAAGTAACTTCTAGAAAAGTGAAAGGGCCTCAGAGTTAAACATTGTTTATAGGCACAATGTTGCACATTTGGAATTAAAACTTGTTAAATACTGGACTAGGTATTGAGATGTGAGTAAATGCGTCACTTGTAGGAGTTTGGGGACAAAAGCCAACTTGTAGGCTAGGAGAGCTTGTGAATATAACCCGAGGAGGAGATGAGCTTTCAAACGACATATAGGATTTTCTTTGTCAAGCTAGGTCGAGTGAAGATAGGGATGATTATGGACCTGGCACCAAAGGTAAGGGTTTTAAGTTAGGCCCAGGCTTGGCTCGGCCCAACCCATACTTTGGTTCTATATTGCAAGCCTTGGGCTTACAGGCTTTCCGGGCTTAATGTGTAATGACTTTGGGCCTAAGATATCAAACAATAAAAATTTATTTATTTTTAAATTAAATGTCATGTAAATGTAATACATACAAAAAATATTACACAAGCCAAGTTAAATTGGGCTTGTTAGGCTTTAAGCCTATGGCACAAAAAATAAGGCATGAACCTCATTGAATTGATAGGCTTCATTCTACTTGGATTACCTATCATTTGATAGATGAAGGCAAGGCTTTCATTCCCATTCTTGAGCATTGTGGGACTTGGAGCAACACTAAATAGTAATGCCTTCCAAGCCTTACATTGCTTAAAGAATGAGAATGAATGCTTTGCCTTCATCTATATAAGGCCTAAATTAGGAGTATAGTTCTTATACTTGAATTGACTCAAGTGTTGACATATATATATTAACAGGTTTCAATTCATAAATATTTATTTATATGTTAAAATAAAACGTAAAATTTTTATTTTTTATATTTTATATAAAATAATAACACTTAATATAAAATAAAATATAATTGTATATATATAACATATAAAATATAATGCACATTATGATATATAAAAATATGTATATTATATATTTAAATAATATAGGCCCAATTTTGGACTGAAAATTTTCAGCCTTGATGCAAGCCTGGGCCCGGGCTGGGTTGCATACAAAAACCTAGGCCCAAGCCCAGAAATTTGCAGGCGGGGCCGGGGCGGGCCAAAAATGTTTATATATATATATATAAACAAAGAAAAATATTTATCCAGTCAATATATATTGATGTAACCGTTTCTGGTCACGTACCATTTTTTGTGATGTATAAATTTTTTGGCTAAGTACCTCGTTATTTAACCCAGTGGTGACATGCCTTGGTGATGAACTGTCTGGTGGTGAACTGCCTGGTGGTGAACTCCCTGGTGGCGAACTCCCTGGTGGCGAACTCCCTGGTGGTGAGTTGCCTGGTGGCGAACTGCCTGGTGGCAAACTGCCTGGTGGCGAACTACCTGGAGGCGAACTCCCTGGTGGCGAACAGCCTAGTGGCGAGCTGCCTGGTGGCGAACTCCCTGGAGGCCTCGTCACTTGACTTGCTCCTAGGCGGCCTGCAATTCAGAGGATGGTGGAGCTCCCTGGTGCAGCGCAACCCGACTACCCTCCACGTGAGGTGATTTCCTCTCCTTTGTAGGCGACAGGAGCTGAGGGACCTGCGAGAACTGAATCAGAGGACCCAGGGGTATTTCCCCGGCGGGGACTCTCCGATGCCTAAGTTA